AGCCCACCCCATTCTGTCCTCCCTAGTTAAAAAGAGCGAAAGAAAGAGCGAGAGAGAGAGAGCGAGAGAGAGAAAGAGCCAGAGAGAGAGAGAGAGAGAGAGAGAGAGAGAGAGAGAGAGAGAGAATTGCCTTGGTGCCGGAATACCATTAAAAGGATTAATTTAGGGACCGGTGTTTGGACTGTCACATCCAATCACTACCCACAGATCTACAGCTTCCCAAATCAGGCTCATGCAAAGAGGAATCAATTGCAAGGACACAGAGGGTCTGAACAGGCATACTAATGGCCTCCTGAGGTGCCAGCGGCCAGCTCTGACACTCCCATAAATTATCCGCCTTTTGATTTTACCTGTAGCTGTGGGGCACAAGGCACAATTTTGAACACATCAAAGCAATCCCTAGTAACCCAAAGCTCCTCAAGGAATGCCCCCAAAGAGGAAAGGCTAAAAACAATGACCCAAAGGGAATCTGCTTCCCAACAGTTCAGGTTCTAGCAATCACTAATTAAAACCCAACAGAACCAAGTGGATAACGTAGGACCCAAATCAAGCCTAGTAGATCTGGACAAGGCATGCATCAGATTGCAGTTCTGGAATGACTATGCACCTCTCACTCAAGGAAAGCAAAATCATAGCAATAAACTAACACACTTTCATCTGGATGGCAAATCTGCCCTAGCTTTGACAGTACCTCACAGCAGGACCTCAGGCAACTCATTTAACCTTTCTGGGCCTCAGTTTCTTCATACGGTATCAAGGACAAGAATGCTGACCACCTGACCCACTTCCCAGAGTGCTGGTGAAAAGTAATTTTAAAAAATTTGAGAGGCACTTTACAAAGATGTAAGGCCACAGGGTGGCAACACTAATAAATGACCCCAGACAGACAGGGAGGAATGCTGGTCACACTTTGGTGAATTTCTATCGGGAAGCTGCTCACTCGATTTGCTTTACTGATGGTGCTGGGACTAAGGTCCACACTGAAAAAAGTTCTGGGATTGCTTGGTTTTTTTTTTTGTCTTGAGTCTCACTCTGTCACCCAGGCTGGAGTGCAGTAGCTCAATCTCGGCTCACTGCAACCTCCACCTCCCAGGTTCAAGCAATTCTCCTGCCTCAGCCTCCTGAATAGCTGGGTCTACAGATGTGTGTCACCATACCTGGCTAATTTTTTGTATTTTTGTAGAGATGGGGTTTCACCATGTTGGCCAGGCTGGTCTCAAACTCCTGACCTCCTGACCTCAGGTGATCCACCCACCTTGACCTCCCAGAGTGTTGGGATTACAGGTGTGAGCCACCGCACCTGGCCAGTTCTGGGATTCTGAATGGAACACCCATTGTCTGAAAATTTTCCATTATGAAGAGCAGTGCCTTGCTTTAGTTGTCAATTCCTCCTGTCTGCTGGCTGCCACCATGAGCGGCTATGTTTTTATCGTATGTTCACAATGACAACTGTGAGGACACAAAAAATATGAAGTCAAAAGCCAAGTCACCCAAATACTGGCTGCTTTATAAAAACTTATTAATTATATAAAATTTTATTAGTGATAAAAGTTATCAAGACACTGTGCAAAGAGTTTTACAAATATTATTAAATCCTTCAGCCAACTCGATTGTATCATTATCTCCATTTTACAGATAGCAAAGTGAAGCTCAGAGAGGTAAGTCACTTGCCCAAGGTCAAGTAAACACTGCTACCAGAAACCTACACTGGGGCTTGTAGGATGAAGACCTCCTACAAAGGGAATGTAGGAAGTAAGGGAAAGCACAGACAAGGGACTCTCAGCTCTAACCTATTCATCAGATGCTCACCAAATACAATACTTTATTTGGTCCCTTTCCTTGACATATACCTGAACTAGGAGACATCTCCAAAATGTCTGGAACAGGTCATCAGTCTTCTACAAGCCAGGAAAGGAGAGACCAAGTAGGACATATATAGAATGAGGGCAATTTCCTGGAAAGCTTAGGAAAATGGGTCATCCTCTCTGCGTACGGTTCAAGAAGTTCAAATTAATTGACATTAAGTTATGAACCCTAAGACCAAGACCCTTTCAATGGCTCCGCTTATTCCATACTTCATTAAAATATAGTTTCCAAAGCATTTTTCTTTTTTTTTTTTTTTTTTTGAGACAGAGTCTCGCTCTGTTGCCCAGGCTGGAGTACGGTGGCGCAATCTCAGCTCACTGCAACCTCCACCTCCCAGGTTCAAGTGATTCTCATGCCTCAGCCTCCCAAGTAGCTGGGATTACCAGCACATGCCACTACGCCCAGCTAATTTTTGTATTTTTGGTAGAAATAGGGTTTTGCCATGTTGGCCAGGCTGGTCTCAAACTCCTGGCCTCCAGTGATCCACCTACCTTGGCCTCCCAAAGTGCTGGGATTATGGGCATGAGCCACCGTGCTCAGCTCTTTCAATTCATTTTACACCAACTTTCCCTTTCTACATCTTTTCCAGTGTGTAAAATAGGAGCCAGTATCTCCAACAAATTCTTTGGTAGACATTCTATACATTCTAGTAGATGGGTAGGAAGTTAGTAAAGAGAACTGTTACACTCATATATGCAGATTCATTTATACTCATTTTTTTTTATTTATAAGAAAAGCATATTTATAGATCAGTTTTTGTTGTTGTTTTGGTTTTTTTGTAGAGTTGCGTCTCAGTATGTTGACCAGGTTGGTCCTGATTTCCTGCCTCAAGCCTCGGTCTCCCAAAGTGCTGAGATTATAGGCATGAGCCATTGTGCCCAGCCATATACTCAATTTTTAAGGACCAAAATAATGCCACAAAAGGGAAAAATAAAATGCTATCCACGTAATTTTCCACAGCCTCCTGACTAGTCTCTCTGCCTCCAGTATTGTCTGTCCCCTTCAATCCATTTTTCACAATGAAATCAGAGCAAATTTTTTTTTGGAGACAGAGTCTTGCTCTGTCACCCAGGCTGGAGTGCAGTGGTGCCATCTCAGCTCACTGCAACCTCTGCCTTCTGGGTTCAAGCGATTCTCCCACCTCAGCCTCCCAAGTAGCTAGGATTATAGACATGCACCACCACGCCCAGCTAATTTTTGTATTTTTAGTAGAGACAGGGTTTCAACATGTTGGCCAGGCTGGTCTCGAACTCCTGACCTCAAGTGATCTGCCCACCTCAGCTTCCCAAAGTGCTGGGATTACAGGCGTGAGCCACCACGCTGGCCTGCCAACTTTCTAAAACACAAATCTAACATCAGTCTACTGCTTAAAACCCTTTAGTGGCTTCTTACTGTTCTTAAATCTGATCCAGAGGTCAGCAAACTATGTTCCATGGACCAAATCTAGCTGCCACCTTTATTTATTTTATAAATAAAGTTTTACAGGAATACATCCATGCTCTTCCTTTTCATACTGTCTGTGGCTACTTTAATGCATAACTGCAGAGTTTAGTAGAGTTGAGAAGTTGTGACAGAGACCCAAAGCCTAAATATTTACTATCTTATCCTTTACAGAAAAAGTTTGCAGAGCCCTAATCTAATCTTTTTTCTACTCCCTGATCTAATCCTAAGAGTTTATAAGCTAAGGCTCTGGCCTCTGCTTACCTCCTGCTTCATCTCTCCCCATATTCTCCTGTCCCCTGCCAACTAAGTACTCTGTTTCAGCCACACTGAACTTTCTCATATTCAACAAAGCTCTGACAACTGGTCCCTCATGTCTTCACCTAATTTTCTTTTTTTTTTTTTTTTTTTTTTTTTAATTTTCAGTGTTCTTTGAGGGTTTGTTTAATTCTATGTGAGGAGGTTTACTTCCTCTGAGAGGCCTTCCCTGAGTCTACAACTCTGGGTCAGAGACCCCTCTGAGTATTTCCAAAGCCTCTACACTTCCCTTACTATAGCACTCTCAGATCATATCATAACTGCCTTTTTACTATCAGTCTCTCCCACGAATTTGTAAGCTCTATGGTGTCAGGGAAGGTGGCTTTCTTGTTCACCACTATAATCCCAGGAACGAGCACAGTGCCTGGCCCTTAGCTATTGAACAAACAAGCTCAAGTCCCTGGATATCAATCATCCAGAGTATGCCTCTTTAGCTGGTCCCTGAGCCTTGTAAAACAGACAGGTTGGAACTAACCATCCACCAAAAGGCGACATGCAACCTAAATTAAACCAAGATCCCAAAGGCCTTGGTCAAATACATTAGTAAAAGCCAAATGAGAGCCAGGCGTAGTGGCACATGCCTGTAGCTCCAGCTACTTGTGGGGAGGAGGATCACTTGAACCCAGGAGTTCGAGCCCAGCATGGGCAACCTAGCAAGAGTCTGTCTCTTAAATAAATAAATAAATGTTTAAAGTCAAATGAAGATGTTTCTTCCTATTTTCTTAAGATGTGTATTTCTGGCCGGGCGCAGTGGCTCAAGCCTGTAATCCCAGCACTTTGGGAGGCCGAGGTGGGTGGATCACGAGGTCAGGAGGTCGAGACCATCCTGGCTAACACAATGAAACCCCATCTCTACTAAAAATACAAAAAAATTAGCCGGGCATGGTGGCAGGCACCTGTAGTCCCAGCTACTCGGGAGGCTGAGGCAGGAGAATGGCGTGAACCTGGGAGGCGGAGCTTGTAGTGAGCTGAGATCGTGCCACTGTACTCCAGCCTGGGCGACAGAGTGAGATTCTGTCTCAAAAAAAAAAAGGATGTGTATTTCTCAGGATAATGGGCTATTCTGGTTCTATTCAACCATCCTGAACTTAAAGTAGGTGCTCATGAGATGCCCATAAAGCAATTGTGACAGAATTTGAGAGTCTGGCTCTCCCACCTCCAACTCTTACCACTTTAGAAACTTTAAGTAAGTTTCTACAGACTTTGAACATATGTTACCTTATCAGAAGAAGCTACAAAAAAATACAATTTGTTTAGACTTTGGGGATACGTGGGGGAAAAAAATACAATCTGCATCAACCCCCACCCCCTACCCTCCAAGCCCAAATACTCAGAAGGAAATAAAGCCAAACTTGACCATGCAACAGGATTCTCACCTCTCCTTACTTCGAAGATGCCAAGACCGGCAGCTGGGGATGCTGAAGGTTCTGTGAGAGCTGGAAAGCCCCAATGCTGTGGATAAACACACATCTCTGCAACAAGTCTATTTCAATACCAAGGATCAAATCCCCATGAAGGATACTACACCTCAAACTCTAAACTCAAACTTTGGGATAACTGCCATCTATGTGGAAAGACAGTGCCCCCACGGAGCTTTCAGAAACTATTAGTACTATATTTGTAATGATTTTCATGTTCTCTAGTCATATACTTTTCCTCCTATGGAGGCTCACCTCCTAGAAACACTGAACATTTACCGAGAAAGATAGCCATGAAGTGGTGTCTCTTTGGGTAATTTCAGAATCCTAGTCTAGTCAAGGAGGAAGACACTGGTAAGGCTGACAATATTCAGAACTAAGGAACTAAGGCTGGGCCAGGATTGGGGGAGGGGCTGGTTGCCACAAATCCACAAGTCATACTGCAAATGGCCACATAGACTAGGAAACACTCTCAGGATACTTCCAAGCCTGCTTCACGCTCTAAGAAAGTCAAGGTAACTAAATCCCAAGTCAAAACATCAATGGATACCTATCATCCTTTTCAACTAATTCATATCCTCCAAAGGACCAGAAGTTGCAGAGATGCCCCTGTTAGTGATGTCTTTTGCATAAAGAAACACCTAGGGTTGGAACTAATATATTCCTGTCTACCATTCCACACATTTAAGACTTTCTTCTACTCAGATCCGCTGGGAAAAGGCCACTCACGGATTTACCCCACCACAAAGAAAACACTTTTCAAAATGAAAGGGAATAAAAGCACTTTTATTTGGAAATTTCAAGTTGGAAGAAGAGCTCTTAGCCAAGCTCTATGACCTAGCTAGCTGATTATTTACAGGATCTTTGGGCAGGAATTGTTAATGAGCTTTTAATTTGGAGTGCTTAAGTTGCCAAAGTGCTCTGAGCTCCAGTGAAGCACCACAGAATCCATAAAGAAAACCTTATCAATCACTTCCCGGCAGCTCCCTCCCCCCAACCCCCACCTCCTGAGGAAAAGGCAGCCAAGTGGGTTTCTAACCAGGATCACAGACACACATTAGTGGAGTCACACTTCAAGTCCCTGTTTATAAATTGGCTTTTAAATAGTAGGAGATCCAGGTATAATAAACTTAAGTTCCAAGCAAGAACCCACTAAAACAGGGCAGGCTGTATATGATAAAGTCAGAATAAAGCAGAATTTGATGAAGCCAATTTCTGGAAGAAACTCTACAATCAAAACTCGTTTAGCCACTCAACCTACTATAGTTTGAATAGCGTACAGTCTTTTAGCCAATAGGATTCATGTTTTGCTGCCCTTCCCCTGGGAAACTGATGAAATGTCTGACAAGAGTAAATGCCATTGAAGTGGCCAGAGACCTCAAGCAGACGCAACGATGGGCACTATTCGTTGCAAAATCCAGCTCTAAGGACAAAATCCAAACCCCCATTGGGGGCCCCACATCCAGCATCTTCCAAGTCAACAATGAGCAGTTAAATTTTGCAAGAACTCACAGTCAAACCTCAATCCAAATTCATGCTTTTTTTTTAAGAAAACACCTGTTGCTGGACCATTTGCAAGACAGGCACACAGAAAGATAGCCAGGTTAGGCCCCTTATTCACTCCTTCCACCATCACCACTACCACCGCTTCAGATTTACAAAGAGGTAAACTGCTAACCTGGTGTGTGCGCATGTGTTGGGGAGGGGGTCAAGGGAATGTTCTAACTACAATCTCCTTGCTCCACTTCTAGCCACTCTGGTCAAACCTCTTTTTCTTTTCTAGTAATCCCAGTAAGTCAACCCCCTTAATAAACTCACCCATCCTGTCTTGCAAAGCTCTGCCCCTCTCCCCCTCCGCCAGAACGTTACTCAGTAGATTAAGCATCCAGGGTTAGCACATGGGCCAGCACCCCAGGTGGCACAAATTCTGCGCACCGCGACCCTCGGCCCGCATGCATTAACCAGGGCCCAATCTTGGAGGGGGACATTCAGCATCACCCACCCCGGGGTGTTGCCCCCAACTTGGGCCCATCCAAGTCCAGGGGAGAGTAAGGGGAGGGGCGGGGGGCCAGGAGACCAGCCCTCCTTCCCAGGGCCGCCCCCGTCCCCCGTCAGCAGCGGGAGAGGCTGTCGCCATGGCAACGCCCCCTCCTCGGGGCCAGCGCGGCAGGCTCCCTCCAGGTGCAGGCCCCGACGTCTCCCTCGGCCTCAGCAGGCGCTCAGGGCAGTTGGCGGCGGCGGGCGCAGCCCGCGCCGACTGCGGCGCCGGCCAGGCAGAGGCAAGGCCAGCTCCGCCCGCTCCCCACCGCCCGTTCCCGGCCGCCTGAACAGCGGCAGCCAGCACCACGAGTCCACAACACACCGACTCACCTCCGCGCACTCTGACCCCGACCGACGTGACGGACGGGCGGGCGCTGTGGCCAACCGCTGAGCCCGCTGCCGGTCCCTTTGACCAATGGGCTGCAGTCGGGCGGGGCTTCTTCTCCCCAAATGCTCACTCTCCCGCCGACATGCGCGCTAAGGTATGTCAAGATGGTAACTCCCGGCGGCCGGGCTTATGGGACTTGTAGTTTTGACGTTGCACGAACTCAGAAGAGAAGGCGGGGGCGGGGACATCACTTCTGATCTGTGAAAGCAATTTTTTTAAAACGAAACTTTCTAAGGCCTACAGCGACCCAGGTCCCCCATCTCCGTTTTCCCGCCCTCTAATATACCTGCAAGGTGAATGTGGGCTCACAACGTGACAGATTATATTTACATGACTCTTCATGATTCGTTCATTCAACAAGTAATTATTGTCATCTACTCTGTGATGTGGGCCTGGGGGAGACCTGAGACAAAGAGGGGTTAAGCTAAGAGGAAAATGCTTAGATTTGTGAAGGGCCGTCCTAAGGAAGACTGGCTTGTTCAGGTCCACTCAGAGGAAACTTCTGTTTAAAAGGTTTCTGGCCTCAGTTGTGAGGAACTTCCCCAGTCAGTCTCTCCAGTAAGCTGGAGAGACCTGTGTTTCTTCATCCTGGTTATGCCTTTCTGGGTAGTCATGAGTCCCAGGATATGAGCTGGGAAACCTCACCCTTAGCCAAGCCAATGATGGCTTTGACAGCTTCACAATCGGTCAGGACCCCATCTTCTGGGCCCAGCTTCAGTTACCAAGCCCCTCTGTGTGTTGTCTGCATATTTACACTTAGGATGATGTCATTTCTGGGCCCTACCACCTCTGAGATCGGACTTTAACATAACGGTTTCCACCTGAGCTGGGAGTGCCTGGTAATCCCCATATCAGGGAATGCCATCATCTATCCCACCCACATAACAGGTTAGGTGACTCTACTGTGCACCTACAGCATTTATCATATTGTTTTATAATTGTCTGTTTCCTTGTTGTCGCTCCCACAGGGTTTTAAGTCCTTCAGGAAAAGCATTTTTTTCCATATTGTTCATGTATGTTCCATTTTTTCCATTATTGTTCAGTAATACACAGCATAGTGCAGGCGTAAAGAAGGCCTGCAGTAAATGTCTGTGAACAAATGAGGGAATATACAGCATCGGGGACAGACTTATCCCGAAGTCAGTAAGTGGAGGTACTATCCTCCAATTCTTGGAGCTGAAACAGATTCTCCTATTATTACCTAGACATTAACCCCAGTTGGTCAGTCAGTCCACCTGTATTTATAGTGCCTCTCTTAAGTGTCAGGCACTGTTTCTGTTGCTGAGGATTCGTTGATTAATAACGACACACCTGTATTCTCAAGGAGCTTTTAAACTGGAGAGGGAAGCTGGGTGCCGTGGCTCATGTCTGTAATTCTAAACACTTTGGGAGGCTGAGACAGGAGGATCCTTTGAGACCAGGAGTTCAAGACCAGCTTGGGCAACATAATGAGATTTTCATCTCTACAAAAAATTTAAAAATAAGCCAGGCATGGTGGCACGTGCTTGTAGTCCCAGGTACTCAGGAGGCTGAGGTGGGAGGATCACTGGAGCCTGGGAGGACAAGGCTATAGAAAGCCATAATAAATAAATTGGAGAGGGGCTGTAGGAGGAAGGATAGATAATAAAATAAGCAAATACAAAAATAAGACAAGAGGCAGTGAGATAGCTTTGTTATATACTGAGTTATGGCCTAAGAGTAGGCACAGCCAATCTTCTTGGCTGTAAGAATGAAGTAAATCTATACTATCTGGATTCAAGGCTTTATTTAATGCCCAGCCCCAACATCCTCTGTGGAGCCTTCAATGGTCCCCTTGACTTCCCCAGAATGTGTTCTTTCCTCCTTGGTGCACCAGGGCTCAACTGTACAGCTTCCAGGACTTCACCACACTGTAAGCTCTTTTTGTACAAAGACCAGGCAAATTGATTCAAATAATAGAACAGTTTGACAGCTCAGTATACACTTGGTACCTTACACTGCTGCCTAACACAGCACTTGGATTTCTCAGGCTGTGGCTCTGTTGTGTGCTGTCTCGTTCCCTAGAAAACAGAGCCTGAGCCAGGTACAGTGGCTCGTGCTTGAAATCCCAACACTTTAGCATGACAAGGTGGAAGGATTGCTTGAGCCCAGGGGTTCATGACCAGACTGGTCAACATAGCAAGATCCCATCTCTATAAAAGGAAAAAGAAAAAAAAAAAGGAAACGGAGCCTGAGGAAAAACTTATGTGTTCAAATTTAATTGGGGAGTACAATCCCAAGGCATCAAGAGTGAGGGGAGCCGGGTAAGGTGACACATGTAGTAGTCCCAGCTACTCAGGAGGCAGGAGACTGAGGCAGGAGGATCGTTTGAAGTCAGGAGTTCAAGGCTAGCCTGGGCAACATGGCAAGACTCCGTGTCTTAAATAAACAAATAAAAGAGTAGGGGAAAGGGGGAAGTGAAGCAGGGAAGGAGAGAAAGAAAGTACCAGATAGTGTCTTACTGAGAAGTTGGCCAGTTCCTCAAAGAAAATACAACTCGTTGCTCTGTCGTACAAGGTATGTAGAACCATCCTGTGTGACAGGGAGAAGGAAGGGTTGTGTTACCCCACCAATGCAGTAGCCACAGGGGGTGCCAGATTCCACACCCTGAAGTATAGTCATTCATTTGAGACTAGAAATGGTGAGAGGAATCAAAGCCTCTGGTTGGGTCAGATCAGGTCCAACTGCAGTCCCGCCACAGTGGGCACATTGGAGGCTGTGTCCAAACCTAACCCTCATCCCAAGGGAAACGAAGATAACCAGAGGTGTTAGTAAATGAGGTGGGAGTGGCAGGTGGGTTGTCCAATGAACAAGTGGCCAATGGCCAGAGTCAAGGGTGCACACAAGGCAAGGGCAAGTGAATTTGGGGAGGCAGATGAACTGAGTCCAGTACACAGACACACAGACATCCTGGCTGCTGGATTAAGCGACTGAGCTAAAGTGAACACTGAGAGCAAGAACACAAGACAGGACCAAGTTAAGTCTTCTTTTTTTTTTTTGAGATGGAGTTTCACTCTTGTTGCCCAGGCTGGAGTGCAATGGCGCGATTTCAACTCACTGCAACCTCCACCTCCCGGGTTCAAGCGATTCTTCTGCATCAGCCTCCCGAGTAGCTGGGATTACAGGCATGCACCACCACGCCCAGCTAATTTTTGTATTTTTAGTAGAGACAGGACTTCTGCATGTTGGTCCGGTTGGTCTCAAACTCCCTACCTCAGGTGATTCGCCCGCCTCGGCCTCCCAAAGTGTTGGGATTACAGGCATGAGCCACCGCGCCCGGTCAGTTAGGTCTTCTTATGGCCTGTCAAACTACCAGGAAAAGCAGCAAGGTGGCCATCAAAGCTAGGACCTTAACCAGCAGTCAAAGCACAGAGAATGCAGGACCCAAGGATAATGCATGGCAGCCCCCAAACCTTGGCACAGCTGAGAGAACCCAGACTGTGTCTGAAACCATTTTATGAGGCAACTGGAAGAACTGCTACTGCCATCGTAGTCCCTGTAAGCTATATAAGACAGCATAGAAGGGTGGACTGAGAGAGAACCTGTTCAGATTTGAGTCCTGGCTCCATCTGTGACCTTCGGCAAGTCACATACCTCTCTGAAGTTCAGTTTCTTCATCTCTAGAATGTAGATAATACTCGTATCTACCTGTTACTGGAATTAAATACGCAACTGCTTAGCACTACCTAGAATAAAGAGTTCAGTAAATAGTGGCTATTACTACTATTCTCACCCTTCCCTACCCCTTTCTCCTACCCCTCTTCCCATCATGACCACCACCACCCCACCTCCTCTTCTCCCCAACCCAACCCCCCAGCAGTCTTCTGCCGCTCTGGGAGGAGTCAGGGCTGGATCTGGCCATGCCGCTTTCTTCCTGCTTTTCCCCAGAGCTGTTCCCCAAGAGCCTGAGCCATTCATCTCCCTGGTGACCTGAATCTGAACTAAGAGATGGATGTGGGGTGGCTGAGGCCAGGGTGGTAATGTGCTCCCTTATCTCCGTGCCCCTCACTAGGGCCTAGTTAATTTTCCTTTTGATTTTAATATAGATTTATTGAAAGTTTCAGTTATCAAAACAAACTGCAGCAGCAAATTGGTGTTCTTTGCAGGCCTACAAGTGCCTATAAAGCTGCCATGCTCGGGAACGAATGGCGCTCTCCGGGAGGTCAGTCATGGCAACAGAAAGTCCCTGGGGACACACACACTGCAGTTTAATATTTTTCTTATTAGCCTTTTTCTTCTTGGCTATCTAAGCCTCCCCTTTAAATCGGAAATCAAATGGAGCCACCTGCCCAGGGAGGTTCTCTTCCTTAGGCTGCGCCACTCTCTGCCTACTCTCTGTCCCCTCTCTAGTCCCAGTGTCCTTACCTCAAATCCTGTGACTCCACCCTGATTTGCCCCCGGGCACAGGGAGAGTCATGATTCACATACTCCAGAGGTGTGGCTCACAAATGTCATGAATCCCACAGCTTTGTCCCAACTGTACAAAATCTGATTGGGCTATCCAGCCACTAGTCAGAGGCAAAGCAGCCCTAGAAAAGATTAGGGCCCCAGATTTCTTCCCTATCTGGTGCTCAAAAGGGAGGAAAAAGCAAAGTTTGAAAGCAAAGGAGTTGCTTTCAAAGAGGCAGATGATCCTGTCAGGATGTGTTGAACTCAACGGAAGTAAAAAGGAGACCGTGATCCTAGACAGCGGGCAAGCTCTCCTTCCAGCCCAAGAATTTTCCGATTTCATTCTCGTAGCCCCAGTGCTACTCCCAATATGGGTCCCCCTCCTCTCAATCACAGCTTGATTTTTGAAGCTCCTCTTTCTGGCCCCAATTTGCCTAAGGACCAGCCAGCACTCTCTGGTGCCCCAGGGGTCCCGTAGCTAGAACCATTCACTGCCACTTCTAGGCTCTGAATCAGTCCTGTCCCAGCAGAGGGTCT